TTATGATGTAACATAGTAAAACATAATTCTTAAATAAATGTATAAATCCTTTAAGATCTTATATATCATCTCACGGAACACATTGTAGGGAACTATTTAATTAAATTGGTCAAATAACGGAAGATTACCAAACCCAAGCCGCTTTTGTGGAATAGCCTTTTGTGAGTCGCCGAACAGTTAAACGTAAATGACTAACTGGATTCCATTGATTTCTTTCGGCTCTTATTGTTAACAGAAAATGTTTAATGTTAAAAAAAAACCGTCATTCTACTGATTTTAATATAGTCACACTTTCTGATGATAGATGTATCTATGAATATGTGAAACTATTCAACAAACAGAGTATGTAGTCGAAATATTTTTATATTTTCACAGAAATATAACTTTTTATAACAAATAACACAAATTAATATTCAAAATCGTCCAGTCTGTCACAATATTCGAAACAAAAATATTCTAAAATAATTTTTAAACATTATTGCTATGTACCAGACTGTGTAATATAGTTTTTGTCATACCTTTGTCTATAATTATTTTGTCCTTCTATCGCGTGTTGCATTCTAATCGTTCTAGTAGTGTGTTTAAAGCTAAACTGTAACCTTAAAAGAAGCCCAGAACAGGGTGGTATCACCTTTACGTACCATTACTTTACATTTATACATATTTTCATGTATAAGTGCAATAGAAATTACGTAGAGTGGCAACTGGAGGCTCCAGCAAAACTACGAAGATTACATGTATGTATGTTATAATGAGAATTATACCTAAGATTACATGATTGCCCCGATGTTAATATAGCAATACCATTCAATAGCTTGGAGTTCATTCCACGGAGTCAGCGGTGACACTCGTTATATGATATCTTATCCATACAATGATGACCGGTGATTATCAATTAATTTTTGACATATGGCGCGTATTTATGGTTATTGATCTGTCATTTAAATAAATTTTATGCGAAATTCTTTGCAATCATCTCAAAAATTGTGCTTATTGCGTACTCAATACACCAAATACACAGGTGTAAATTTAAATTCATAGTTAAATGTATTACTAATATTAATTTTGTCAAAACCGTCCTGTAATTATTTATTTAAATTTTAATTTAAACAAAAGGATTCGAATATCAAAAATTTAACAGTCTATAATATTTATATTTTTATACTAACCTCCGAAACAGTTTTTACTGCAAGTTTTCTTAAAAAAAAATCTACCTTTTTTTTATTTAACTGTATTTATTGGCACTCTCACCGCGACGTAAATGTAATTTTCTTAGTTTCTGTAAATAGTTTACACCTTTTTCAGATAAAAGCTGAAATTACCACTTTTTAACCACCATTTTATGTTCCACAATTTTCGGCCAAAATTAAATTTGTGCTCAATCCAATCGAGGATGAAAAAGGTATTTGGGACCATTCTTTATAAAATAAATAATATTGGTATCCTTTATAAAAAGGTAAAATTTTACTTACAGACTAAGTTTTGTTAGTTTAAGACTGTCAAAGTAGTAAGAACGCTTGTTAGGATTAGAATTAACAATTTTTAGGTGTTATCTGCGGATCATCAAATATTGGCACTTCTTGCTATAAACACTATACATTATAAGGTTTTTCTAGCTATTAGCAGTTTCTCCATTTTCAATATTGTTTCTTTATTGGAATATGGTTGAAATGTATGTATTATGAAACAGTAACGGGTGACATATAAAATAAAAAAAGTACATCGATTTGCAATAGTGAACATTAGTTTTTGCTACTCAACCCTATTTCCGTAATTACAAGATACACTACAATAAAAATACATATATAAACAGAAAGTTAACCGAGTGCATCCAGAGAACTTATTTTCTAAATGAAGTTTGTTTTGAAGCGTCGCTTGTTCCGGGAAAACTCTGATAAGTTGAGAATTGCTTCTGTGTCCAATGACTTGGAAAATTATATATATTTTTTGTAAAAATAAATCTATATAAAGTTTCGCGTCGATTTATAAATACGCTATTGGGACCACAGTTTATGACACTTTCTATAATCTAACAATTTATAGCTTATTTTATCTGAAATTCTTTAAAGTTTATTGTGAAGAATAAAAGATGGATATAGAATTATTATTTGTTATTAAATTACCATATCGTAATATGTCATCACTTTTGTTTCAAATATTATATATTTTTGTAGTTTTTGGTTATCATCAACATAATTCGCATATTGCTTTTTCGTAGTTTAGGTTTGAAATGCATAATAGAAATTTATATTATTCCAATAATAATTTATGAAAATAAAATGAAAAACGACCTTTAAATTTAATATACACTAATTATTTTTATTGCGAAATAGTAAATCAAGAATTGTTGAAAGCAAATTCATTTAAACATAACGTGGTTTCACAGTTCTTTGAACATAGTTATTCAGCACTGTAATCTTCAACTTCCAAGATTTCTCACATCTACCGTCCTATGAAAACAACTGACCCGATAAATAGCTCTGAGGCTCATCTATCGGCCACATTTACGACATCCTTTATATTCCAACAAAGGGTATTTAGCACCTATTTTACTCCAACAATACCCACACCAACCTAATCTTATATTTATCTTAATTGAGAGTTTGTAGTTGCAAATGTACGATACAGGGAAACCTGATAGGGGATTTTGGTTTAGTTTAATGTGATTTAAGTTGTTAAATAATTTTATGATTATAATGTTTTATGTTACCCTTAACTCTCAATAAGTATTTGCTTCGTATGTATGTATGTATTCAATAAAAATTACACACAATCAAATTAGTTTTAGCAATTAAGTAAATATTTGTTTTCATTTCAGTTATTTACAAATTATTTACTATACGATTTTAAGACAAAAGAATTTGAATAATACCTTAAGTTATAAATCGTCATTAAAAATATTATTATAAGGATTCATAATTATCAAAACAATGATAATGCGTGCGTGTATGCACAGCCATTAGTTCCTATAACACATATACATCGTCCATGAAAGCGTAAAAGCAATTTAACTATCTTGGTTTCCCCACAAGACTAATTAGACAAACGTAATAGTCCCTGGTGACTATTAAATAATAGTTCCTGCTTTCCAGAAACCTAACGTTAATATGTTTTGTTATGGAAACTAAGCAGCATTGTTCTTGCAAATTTTAAAAAGCTTTTAAAGTCACATATCACAACTTCAACACTGAATACAATTCTAAACACTTCAACTTCACTTCAGTTCAAGCTGTGTAAAATGAAATATTACCATTGACAGTAAAGATTCTTACATATTGCTTCAAAAGTGTAAAATACTTATAAATATTTTACTATTTTATTACTTTGAATCTAAATAAAAAAAATCTGTTCTTAATGTTTTCTTAATATATATGTATTTACTTAAATATCAGCACCATTTTTGGAAATCACGAAAGTATTAACAACAAATTATTTGTCAGAATATTACTGAGTTTTGAATAGCAGTACTATACTAATAAATGAAAATATGACTGAATAATAAAAATGTGGAAATCACTTTGTTTCACTGTAACTCATTCACATTACGTACTAAGCCAATCCATAAAAATAGTGATTAAGATCGAACCATACTCATTGTTAAAAAAAAACAAATGAAAAAATATGGAAAAGTTTTTTCTTAAAAAATATATGAAAAATAATTGCCCTAAATCATGAAAAGATGTAGCGAAAAGCAATAAAATTTTTGTTTCTTTTCAGTTCTATGCTTTTTCGAAAACACATAGATACCATTTATTTTCATAAAAAGCTGATAACGAACCTTTTTTTATTTCAGAATGTATTCTTTGTGATTACACCCAATTTTGCATCGTCACAATACATACGATGTGTTAAAGGTTTTTCGCCAATAAATCACCATATAGTATAAACGTTGGTTATTGATTGAAAAAGGGACATAATTCGTATGAAGAGTGACGAAGCAATTTTTTAGTAATCGTACTGTATAGAAAAGTGCTTTTTTATGCTCATTTTATATGGTATATTTCAAAAGGGGTTAAAAATGCCTGGAATAAAATATAAAGTTTTTATTTCTTAGTATATATTTACAGTGACGAAGCATGAACTCAATTTCCTCATAGTTTCTGATACCCTGAAATATTTATCCTTTTCCAACCTCAAGAATTTAATTCAATTTGTCGTACTTCCTTAGATCAAAAAGAGTGACAGATAATACAAACATTCTTATAGCCACTTGTTTTTTTTTTGCCAGAGCAAAATTTTAAGCATATACATACATTGTAGTAATACATATCAAAGAACTTAAAAACATACATTATTTTCAAGAATATTTAATAAGACTTATAAAAGGTTATGATGGAGCATTAAAGTAAATACTTTGTCACAAATTTTCACATATAGAAGAAAAATAAGTCAATTAATTTATTTCCTATTCAAATATTTACTAAAGAAGATTATTATGGGTTACCTTCTTAGTTGATGGTTCACCCGACGATTTGTTTACCTTTCAGCAACCGTGATCAGTGGCAGACGAGATAGAAGTGTTTCTTAGTTAGTATTGATATTTTTCGTCAAAAACTAACGATTCCTTTGTTTTTGTCATACTGCTCTAGATTTACGTGGAATGCGCTAACTGTATCTTAAGGTAATGCATAGTGTTCACGGACATACCGTTTAATACTTTTGTTGAGACGATCCGATTATTTTATTTAACTGCTAAATCGATAATATATGTAAACTTGTAAACTTATTCGTAAGTGCATACAGTGTACAGACTTTTGAACGGCATCAAATATAAAAACTCTATTAAAAACAAAACTGCTTATAATAGAATACAACTATTATAAGACAGTATGGCCTTGGTTTTGTATCCGGTTTGACTTCTTAATGATGTTTATTATGAAAAATATATACAAGATTATAAATAAATTTTACGATGTTTTTTATCTTTGAGGCAGATAACGAGTCTCATTAAAAAACATTTTAAATCCAAATACTTTACTTCCAGAAGTCATAGTGATACAATGGTCATATTTATTTTAATCGCGTGTTCTATATTAGTGTTAAGTTTATATTTAAATCGTGTTTACAGTTATTGGAAGGATCGCGGGATTGAATATGAAAGACCGTTTCCGTTTATTGGTGGTTTAAGTTTTATTATGCGAAAAAGTTTTTCTGAATATGCGTACGATTTAAGTGTAAAATATCCTCGGGATTACTTAGGCATATACCTTGGTATGAAGCCAACTTTGGTTGTGCAAACACCGGAACTAGCTCGAAAAGTTTTTAGCACTGAATACGATAACTTTCAAGATAGACATTTGTACTGTCATGAATCCGACCCTATGGGCTCTCTCAACATATTTACTGTTAAGGTAAACATTTCTATCTATGTTACACTATTTACTAAGCATAATGCAATAAACTTCATATAGCAATCTTAACAATACTGTGGTTAAACTTAAAAATTACAATTCCTTTTTAGAACAATAATATTAAAAGCAACTTAAATATACCTTATATATTATCATCATGTTAACGGCCACAGAAAAATATTTACAATTTACACATATCGCTGTACTGTGTCTGTGTTTTTTTCCGTGTTAAATAAACCAAAACATAATACGCACTGCAACACTTTACAGAATCCATTGTGGAAAATGCTCAGATACCGTTTATCACCAATGTTTACATCGCACCGACTGAGAAAAATAACAGAATTGATGAATGCAAATGCAACCGAATTGGTAAAAAAAGTTCAAAGGGATTTTATTGAAAAAAAGAAACATGTTAATTTAAAGGTAGGTACGAAAATTTTATTGTATATTAAGGGTTAAAAATATTTAAAATAAATCTTTATTCATGATAATCACAATTATTATTTGCAGGAAATATTTTCTATGTACACATCAGATACTGTAGCGTATAGTGTTTTCGGTATAAGAGTTAGTGCATTAAGCGACCAAGACTCCCCATTGTGGCACATAACTAACCATATGGTCAAATGGACATTTTATCGCGGATTGGAGATTACTTTCATATTCTTTCTTCCTGTCCTTGGAGCATTAATGCGGTAACATACTTTTCATTTGCAAACGTAATTATTATATTTATTATCGCACTATTCTTTAATATCAATTATATACTTATCAATGAACTGTCTAAAACTTAAGACCACAAAATCCGATTAAAAAATATTTCATAAACAGTTGACATACTTGATTATTTTTTATGAATTATTTTTTAAAACAAGGTGTTTAGTTTAATAAGTTAGGTATTGGAAAATTCTAACATACGGATTTCAAGAATTAAATTTGGTTCTTTCAAGGCTTAAATTATTTTCGAAAGCTGCTAATGATTACATTAAACAACTATATTGGACAGTTGTCAAAGATCGACAGAATGATAAAAAATATGACGATTCAGACCTTGTGAATCATTTACTAAAAATAAAAGAAAAGCTGGAACTGCCACCTGAAGCTGACGAAGGTTGGTATTTAAAATTATTTAATATAACAAATAAACAATATTTCATTCATTTTATTATTTGATTTCCTTTCATAGACTTTGCTGACAATATCTTGCTTGCACAAGTAGCAGTGTTTATATTAGGTTCTATTGAAACTTCTTCTTCTGTTTTGAGCTATGCTCTGCATGAACTAGCATATCATCAGGATGAGCAGGTAATTAGCTTTAAATATTCCTTACTTTATAAAGATTACGACAAAGGAACATTAAACACATTTCCACTCCCAAAATGACAAAGCTTATAAATAATTTATTATTCCATCATGACAAAGAGATTGTAATATTCTTTCTGACAAACTTAACTTTACCATAGTCTTTACATATTTCAGGAAAAGCTGTATAATGAACTTAATAACGCATTTTTGAGGAGTGAAAAGGACTATCTGAATTACAATGAATTATTGCAACTTGACTATTTGACTGCATGTATCCACGGTATGCATTGATATTTTCCTGCACGCTTATAACTTTATTACCCTTTTAACATTTTAAAACATATTATGTAGCCAAAAAAAGATGTTAAGAAATCGTGGCGTTTGTTTGCAGAAACTATGAGGAAATTTCCTCCGTTGCCGTTAATAGATAGATTGTGTGGACAGACGTGTGTACTGGAAGATGGTTTGAAAATAGAAAGAGGAGTTCCTGTGCTTGTGAATGTAATTGCAATACATTACAACGAGAAATATTACCCTGAACCTGAAAAGTGGAAACCCGAGCGTTTTATGACAGGCAATAAACAAGATAACAGAGAATTCACCTTCCTGCCGTTTGGTGACGGACCAAGATTCTGTATAGGTAATAGCAATATTATATAAAAATTAAACTATATCTCAGTGCCCTGGCTGCTATCTTATTGGTTTTAACAAATTTGCTATAGAAATTATCTTACATTAAATTGATCATAAAATAAATTGAAAATAGAGAAGTTTAAAAAATAAAGTGTATTACAATTTAATCTACATCACCGCTGGCCGTTAAAAGCCTTTGAAGTCGTCAAAATATTTAAATTAAATAATATTCATTTCTAGGTAAAAGATACGGTATGATGCAAGTACGCGCGGCTCTTTCCCAGTTGATTTATAATTATAAGATAGAGCCTGTCGTCCCTTACAAAGTGAAACCAGACCCGCATTCTGTTATCTTAGCGCCTCAAGATGGATTGAGCGTCAAATTTGTTCCTCGACGGACTGAAAAATAAATAATTTGAAAAACATTATCAATTATATCACAAAGTTATAACAACTTCAATCTTATAACGAAAAACCTTCTATGAAATCCTACAAATACTTTTGATACCAAACCATTTTGTAAAAATGCTTTCAGAGCATTTTATTTATTGCTACAATTCACTTTCCGCAGTTTTAACTCCAAAAAGTATTTAAATATAAAGTAATGAAAGAAGAAGGTTCTGAAAGAAGTTTTTTTTTTCTTATTTACTTCATTAAAATATTCAAGATTATTTTGATAGATGACCCAGTAAATAAACTAGTTTATAGCAATCAAATAAAACGACTTGATATATACATAGTTGACTTTTATTAAAAAAAATCATTTATTTATAGCCGCGATCATATGTATTAAAATATTGTGTAAGTAATTCATTCTTATAAGTACGTGTTCTCACAAGTAATGACTTCAGTATTCAATAATTTTTATTTTATAGCAACATTCACAAGTCATTCAAATAAGACGTTATTTAGTGCCTTAAAGGTCACTTTTTACATTGTTTTATGAGGAGACGAAAAGGATGAATTAAATCTTTTTGGTGAAAACACCTCCTGAACATTAGTAAAGTAATAAAGTTACCAATAAAGTGATTTTACAAACAAAAATTGTGTGATCTTTTCTGACCTCTATAGCAAACGTTTTATGACTTTTAGAGAGCTATCAAATAGCAATTGATTTTTGTATTTATAGACAAGAAATGTTACCATTCTTAGCTGCCTTACTCGTGACTTCGGCTAGGTTAGACAAGAAGAAAATAATATTTAATCTGTTCTTAAAAGATAAATTTATCATTCCTTCCATTTACTAAATTAATTTACATTATTAATGAGAAAATAAATTTTCTTGTTGTAATAAAAGTACTGTTTGAAAATTATAACAGAAAGTTTTACGTATTATTTGTTGTTGTTTTTTTTAACGCACTACTTGAATCGGAACTCCAAGAGAACTTGAGTTTCTTTTCTAGGATACTTGTGACATTAAAGTGACATTAGTGATTTAAGATACCATAAGAATAATATATGGGTTTAATTTAAATGCACTCTGGTCCTGTATCGTCATGGGAATCGTCAAGGGTCGAGTGAGTGCAAAGTTACGAATTTATTACGAACGAATTTATTACCAAGCAACAGCGTTCAAAAGGGTAAATAAGGGATATTTGTTTCTAAGATAGATTTGTTAGAATTAATATGATAGTTTTTGTTATTGCTTTACAACGTTATTTGTACTACTGGTAGTGATGTTTAGTATTCAAAAAGAGTTAGTTTCATAGAACTAGAAATTAAAGAATTTTAACCAATGTTAACTGGAGACGCGTCCTAAAAACTACGAATGTATCTATGATCTATGTTGCTATGTTACATGTTATCGTGATTATTTTAATTATTAAGATTATTCAGCCTAATTTAATGTTTAAAATAAAAAGAGTTATGTAATGACTTAAAAACGCATTTTTAATAGAAAATTATGCTTCTCAGTACACACTTATGCCAGAGCACTCCAAGAGGAAGCTCATCTAATTTCGAGTACAGCTAAGGCCGACATAAATTAGTCCAAGTGAGTGTTAGTGCTTTATTTGTGAAATGGATAATGGACAGAAAATGAAAATGGATAATGGACAGAATGGACATGCTATTTTTAGAAAATAATATAATAATACACATAAACATTAAGAAATAAGATTTGTCTTCAGGTTAATACCTGTGTAAAAAAATTTTTACCTCACATAATAAACTACCCTCCCAGGCATACTGGTGTATTAAATAATAATATTCTAAAGAATTCTTTCGTTCTAAACCAAGAAGCAACTATATTAAGAGGTGTCTTTATTCTTAAGACATGATGAAGACATTGAATTATCAGACACTCTTTGAATACCCTTCCACCACCATCCAGAATAATAATTAATAAGCATTGTCAATATTTAAAAAAATAACTTTTAACAGTGACAAAATTAACTCGTTTTGAATACTTTATTGTAAAAACAACACGAAGAATAAAAGTAATACCTACGTTATATACACGGTCATAGATTTCAGGTTGTGCATTAATAAAAAGATATATTTTTTCACTTCACATCTTATGATATCAGAAAACGGTAAACCTTAATGTATCCGTAAACGAGTTTACGTTATCTTATGCTTTCAAATATATTCTTAAGTTAGTATTTTCGGGATATTCCCAAACCACTAGAATATTTCCCAGCTTCATGTTGTTTTGTAAACTAAGGCTAAATGGCTATTAGTTACAGTAAAACTCGAATAACTGTACAGCTGTCTACATATATTAATACGACTTATTAGAACGTCCATATTTTTATAATGGAGTTAACCAATATTTATATGTAAAATAAGATTTTTTAGATATTTGAATGTCAACTGTTTTCATATTTTCATTCTGATTCGTAAAGATAAAAGGAAAAATATCCTTTTTGTTGCAATATTTCCAAATCTGCGATAAGAAGTTTTCTAATATAATAATGGCTTAGAATATCTGGTTAATTAAGCTGTGTAATCAGAGTTAAATGTAATTAATATAAAATATTACCGGCTATATATTACAGGCTGTTGTTGTTTCTATCTATAATTATCTTTTTACCCTTCAAAGGGGGAATTTTATACTAAAAATACTTACAACATAATTGTTTACAGAATGACGAGGAAAGAGAACGGATTCTGGAAAATGTTGAAGAAACTTTGAACTTAAATATTACCTCTTTTTTAAGTTGTCAAGCATTATGAGAACGGACTTCATAATTAATTGCAGAGAGAAATTTAAATAAAAGAAAATATTTTTTTATGATTAAGAGTTGCATTTCTCCATTTATAGAATTTTAATGTTATTAAATTTAAGTATAAAGTATAATTTTATTCCATAATGAGATCTAATACTTTCGGGAGTATTCATTTAAATGAAACCAATATTATTCGGATTACTACGTGTATTTTACTATTTTAAGACAACATACTCCCGACGTTTCGGTTACTTTTCAGCAACCGTGATCACGGGCAGACGAGATGTAAATGTTGATAATTGTTTATAAAAATCATTTTCTCCAAAATTTTTAAAACATTATTAAATGAATTATTTTTTGAAGACTGTTTTCTATTATTTTACAATATTGTTTTGTAATTCTGCAATAGTATTACTAAGTTACTTATTAACTTAAGTTTGTATTACTGAATGCCTACGTCCTAGTTCTATGGATTAAAATTATCAGCAAGAGAGCGTCAGCAGCTGCTCTCAATGGCAATTTGCAATTTAACTAAGTGTTCCTGAATATCGGATTAAGTTGCAATGTTTTCCAAGCAACAAAAGACCAAAGATTATTGAGAAATGAAGCGTTTGAGATATAAAACATTTAACTTTATTAAATAAGTGTGAAACTGTATTAATTAAAATGGCTTTAATAATGCCATTTCATTCTGTTAATTCTAAACCCTTTTTATGATTCTGAATTTAATAATAATAAAACAAAGTGAACAACACAGTCAAAGGTATATTTACTGGGCATAGGAATCCTTAATGAAAAAAATAATAATTTAAACGTTTAAATTTATGGATTATTACAAATAATATTTTAAAAATAATTCTGTGTTAACATAAAACATTATTCGCTGCTTAAATCTTTGTCAAAAAAGCAATGCGTTAAATACACATACCTGTTTTTGAAAACAATAGAAAAAAATTGATGCGTGTTCATTTGTTTTTTAATTAATGAGGAAAATATCATTTCCTCTTAAAAATTGCTACAAATAATCAGGTTCGTCGTGATCTAAAAACATTCTCAAAGATAGAACGCTGAGTGCGAGATAGTTTGCTCTCAAAAGAGACTAACGAACCTATTTAGCTAGTGATGCTTCTTAATATATCCCGAATAACTAAGGAGAAAATTTTTTGTAAGGCCATAAAACTTTTAACTACTAGAATAGATTTATAAGCAAAATTTATTTGTCATCTCTCTGAATTCTATATTACTTTCTTATCCAGTGACTTATATTTTTCTTTATATTCAAATAAAGCTGCTCTGTTCCGTTTTTAATAATTGAGATCCAAGTTCTAAAGTCTAATTCGAGTCGTAACAATCAAGCACTTATTAAACATGGAATAAAGCAGTTCTCATTTTTGTTATAATCAGTTTGTCTTGGTTCAAATTGTACTTCAGAAATGATCAAATAAAAGTTAAATCTAAAACTACTTTTTGCTTTAATTGCATTTATTTATAATAATGATATCAATTGTATAAAGAATAATAATAATCAAGATATATATGATTTGATTTCTGTACAAATAAAACAATACAAATTTGATATTTGTTTACTGATATAATTTGAGATGATCAGTAAATAAAAATGGATAAGAATTAAGTTCTGTACTCTCGTAATATTTTTAATTAACAAATCACTTTCTTATATGATAAAAGAAATAATTCCAAAATATTTTCTTAATTTCTCTGCAAAATAAAAATAATAACAATAAATTTTCCACTTAAGAATACTATTTGAAATGGTTTGGAAGAAATATATAAATTGTGAGATATATGTTTTAATAACAATATTTTGTCATGGAAACTTTATTTTATTTACTCTTTATGCGTTTAGAAAAACGATAACAATTTTGGAATAAAGTTATTTGGTATCAATATCAGCTGCAATATATCTTGAATAATAAAATTAAGTGAAGATGTTTTAAAATTAGATATTGAAACATAATAAAATCTATAATGTACAGTGGCATATTAAATTAACATTTTGAATTAAGACTAATAAAAATTCCATACTTAACTTTGGTAACAACGTTACTGAAATTTCTTTCTAACTCTCGCAGTATTTTTCAAAACAAGTCCTATATATTTTGGATTTATGGACCTTTCTTTTGGCCGACCTCAATTTTTCTTTTCACTAATTTGTCTATTTGACCACACATTAATCTTTGCTTTATATAAATAAGTAAAAGGTAATAAAAACATTCATA